CCATGCGAACTATAAACAGAAGACGACCAACGAAAAGTATACTGTCAGTCGCCGGTGACTGACGCGGCCTTGATTTTCATTACTCATAGCATATTATGCTTTATTATTTTTATTCGTGTTTGATATCATTTTCATTAGAAAAATCTCACCAACATGTTAAAAAAAATTTCAGCTAAAAAAAGTAAAAAAACTATTATGAATTGCGGAGCCCTGAAATCTCGTAAAGTAAACCGACTGGTGTAGCGTTACACTCTTGACTGACTGCGAGCGAGATAACATAGGCGCAGCAATGACGCAGCCTAGGCGTAGGACCATCTATACCGACACTTGTAGAATCCAAACTGACTGACACTTGTAGAGAATTTACTGTATTCGTTTCATTCCATTTCAGTTTCAAATGCAATCTGCTCTTGCACGCACCGATTGTGTTTTATTTTCATATCGGACACGAACTTTTGCAATCATCCAATAGATTTGTGGCGACCGCCACGGAGGGGCCCACGTACTTAGGCCTGGCGACTCTTGGCCCTCGAGGCGAAGAATCGAGAGATGTTTTTCCAAACATCTCCGAGTTTCTTCGTCCTCGAGGACAAGAGTATCGCGCCCCCACTTCCTGGGACTTTCCCAGGGAAAAGGCACGAGGCCTTTTGTCGCGGACCTTCTTTCTACGCGCATCGTATCGCCTTATAGTCGGGGCCACGATATAGCGAGGTCGTAAAATCGGTTAGGCGTCAAAGTAAACATGTTTTAGCTGCCGGGACCCGAAAATTGACAGAGATACGAGCAGATAAGTACTTGAAACCATTGTCAGGACCGTACGAAAAATTCAGATAAGTACTTGAAACCATGGTCAGGACCGTACAAAGAATTCTTCTATCCAGCGAAAGTCAAACTGATTCTAATATATTTACTGAAAATTGAGTTCAGCTAGGACAATTTAGGGTTTTTTTCTTCTGGGAAAAGCCGCATTTGGAAGTACGGTTACAAGATGCAGATAGAAAATGCAAAAGGATTGTGTAGCTTTAATATTAACATATTTTCCATTTGTAAATGAAATACCATTTTCTACTTGAAGTACCAAATCATATGCTACCATTCGTTTATTGTTGGAACCCTCAAACAGACTGCAACACACGGCCTTGAGTGCCGCAACATCAATCGATGCCGATTCTTGAGAGTTTAATTTACGACCTCGCTATATCGTGGCCCCAACGGTGTTTCATTTATCCTGATAAATTGGAATATATCATTAAAAAAGACTGAACCTATCAAAAAAATGTTTGAATAAAAGTTGTTTGGTACGAAGAGGGACACTATATGGTGCACATTACTTTCCTTTCAGGTCGAATGATAGGAAGAAATTTTGAAATCAAGTTCATTTTTTTTAAATGGAACCATATTTTTCTTTTTCATTGTGTGATGGCATTAAATATGTATACAACGAATTTTGTTGATACAAATTCAACGACCTGCCATGTAAGGTAAATTATTGTTGCAAGATGTTATAAATTCATCAGATTCTAAGAACTCAAACGAGCCGGAGTCGCTGGCTAATTAGGCTACACGTCATGCTGTAAACAAAAATCAAACTCATCTCCCGTTATGCTTTTCACGTTACCAACGTAAACAAACCAAGTTTATGTAAGAAATGCGAGATTCCGGCGGCAAAGTGGTGGCCTGGAATTTGTCACCCAGGAAGAGAAAGCGCGCGGGTACCTGAGGGTCCCATAAACCGAGCCCTTTCCCTGGAAAGTCGAACGAGGGGGCTCCAACGGCTTTTCGGAGCAACGTGGGATACGACGCGGAAAGGACATTCTGGAAATAGCCGTCGAGCGAGACGGACGCCGGGAATGCAACGTGGGATACGACGCGGAAAGGACATTCTGGAAATAGTCGTCGAGCAAGACGGACGCCGGGAACCTTAAGAATCGCTTAGGAATACAGAATAAGTTATTTTTGGGATACCGCACTATCTTGACTTTAATTCTTTGTTTTCGAGTGGTGCTTACAGAAGACTCACTCTCGACGACGAAAACGCCCTCTTGATTTTCGATTTAACCATCGAACGTTCTCCGTTCTTTTCGAGGTTTTGTGACTTCCTGTGTTCTATGTGCTCGTGATCTCTCGCGAACGAATAAACGTATGAATTCCTTGACTTTGAAATTTTCCCCCACCATACGACTTGTGATAAAATAATTTGCACCATATGGTGTCCCCCTTCATATCGAACAAATTTTGTTCAAACATTTCTTCGATAGGTTCAGTCCTTTTTAACGAGATATTCCAATTTGTCAGGATAAATGAAACACTCTGTATAATAATTGTCATCCGTTATAGGACAAAAATTGTTCAAATATATTTCATATTGCGTTATTACGTCCGGTGTGTAAATTATCAGGCGCCTTTTCTTTCCCAGTTCAAAATTACAAGAAAAAGGAAACATTTACTTTCGCAAAGATATTTATTTGTCATCAAACAGCAGCGCCGACGATCATAATCAGCAAATACAACTTTCGAAACTCTTAAACACAACAGTTTGTGCATATGGGAATCACGAAGTTGGCCAGATAGGTCCAAATGGACCCAATTGTCCGTACGGCCCGAATGGAGGTGGGCCCCATCTCCCCCTTCCCGGCAACCAAGGATCCACTCTATTCCCGTAGATATCTGGTTCGAAATTGCCACATTTTGGAAAATTACGTGGTACCGGAGGCAAATCACGTAGTTCCCCAACTTGTATAACAACCTCCATACCAACTATTTGATGATAGACGAAGTGACAGTGGAACAACCAAAATCCTGGATAATGAAAATTATTGATTTTCACCGATAATAATAGGTGTTCCTAAGAATTTCATCTTGACCAAATTTTAACGTTGACCTTACAAACTACTTAAATAATGTTTTTCTTTTATAAAATTATCAAAGATACTCTATGTTGAAATTTTCAGTCTTCGTTAAAATTTGAAAAGCGTGAGTAATCGTGTAAAGTGACACTTAAAATTTTTCTATTTTTTCGCTGAACAAATTTCTCACGTACCTGGATTGTTTGCGACGAATCGAAGCACAACGTATCCGTTGTTCGGCACAGCAAGGGTGTCTTTACCAGGAGCAGTATCCAAATTCCTCTCTATCTTTCCCTCACTATCGAGCTGTTTCACGTAATCCGTCGTTATCACGGTAGCGTTCCCCGTAAACGAGTAAGGACCAAGCGGTTGACCCATGCTCACAACTCTAAACGCGTATCCATGCAAATGGAAAGGGTGCGATAATTGCTCGACTTGAGCTGTAATTGTACAAAATTTCGTTGTAAAACATGCGTTGATTAAAAAAAAAAAAAAGAAAAAACAGAAACTTTTCGAAATATCTCGTAAATCTCTTCTGTTCTATCACGTTCACCGCGGATCTTCGTCCTGTGTGGTACGGTTTTCATTGAAAATTCGCTACGTGCTAATTGTAAGCTGTTTCCATTATTCTTCCACCATTATCGTCGTAATAGGCATTAACCCTTTGCACTCGAAGGTGATTTTGCTGTAGGAAATGTTGCAAATCGGATCTTCTTTGAAATGTTTTAAAACTAACGTAGAAATAAACTATGCGATTTTATTTAAATATTCAATGCATTCTCTATTTCGCTATGGTGAAGAAATTCATGGAGGCCCATAGAACTGCTCTCTGTCTTCATTCATTATTTACCAAGTGAGAATTAATGTCGCTTCTCAGTCGCCACTCGATTGCGAAGGGTTAATCGAGCTTTTGTAGGGTAGAACAGTAAAATATAACGAAAACATGAGATATTTGTCTCGTACCGCCGAATAAGAAAGTCCAGTACGGAGTACGAGTGCTGAATACTCTTTTGCTAGTGTGAACTGTAATTCTTTTACACCGAATTAAATAACACACGTGTATTCTTCATAGATAGCTAATTAAGACACGTGTATTCATCTCGTGTAAAGATAATCGTAACCACACTACGCGGGAGATCGAAAAAATTGACAACCTCATATGTGCGCCCGTAATCCGCACGGACAGCTTTCGCCGGACGCATATACGCGTCCATAGCACTCGAAGCGAAAATCGTGTGTTATCGCTCGTAACAGAGACGTCACTCTCCATTTACTGGCAAGTGAACGTGAAACAGAAATTTTACCAAAAATTAACCAAAGAAAAATGAGAGACTGTTCACTAGACCCGTCTAATTCGAAAACCGTCGATTGTAAAGGTCAATAACCCCTGAGTACCGAGAAACCGATGAATCGGCTAGGGGTCGACAACCCTTGAGTACCGAAAAGCCGATGAATCGGCTAACTCTAGATAAAGTGTTAAAATGTCTACAGGCCACAGTCGTCCTGTACCGCCAAATAGTAAAAAAGCGAAAACTTTTTACTAAAAAGGTAAAAATTGAAAAAAGCTGCCGCAGTGAACGTGTCGCAACATACTCGAGATTACTCACATGTGTCGATCAACACAATTTCCACCAGAGAGTTCAACGCAACCTTTAACAAATGCGTGCACTTGCAATTGCTGGAACAGCCACGAGGTAAATTCTGCGAATTGCAGTACTGTTCCGGAGATACATCGCGATATTGTGAAAGTGGCGGTGAAGGTGGAGATATGTACTCTACGCCATCTAGCGTCGCAGAAACCGAAACTCCTGGCCCTGGAACTGTACATATATGTTTGTATGAAAAATAATAGTTCGTAAATTGTGAGAGAGAGAGAGAAGAAAAGAAGAAAAATAAAAGTATCGTAACAGAACTATATAGAAAATGTCACCTATAAATTCAGCGTACTGATTTGGCTGATAGATCTCTTGCTGCGTGTAAGCATGGAAGCCTATAGGTATGACGAATTGATAGTCAGCTTTCGTTTGACGCACAATCCTTCTGATCGGTATGGCAGTCTTCACTTGATTGATACATATCGCTGTAGGATTTGGAGTGTTACAACTGACATCCAATGGATTCAAAACCTACCGTTGAAAGTGTGTAGGAAAGATTGTTCGAATGTATTGTTAAAAAGACATTGAATGAATGCATTATTAAAAGAAACTTGGGTCAAATAAGTAAATTACACCTCTTGTCTGTTTTCGATTCAGAAAGCGTTACTTTCGATGAATTTAAAGTTTTCGCTTGCTGTGAAAAAATTTTTATATTTGAATTAAAAGATTTATCATTTTATTAAATTAAGGTGAAAATGCGCAAAGGGCAAAAATTAAGGTGAAAATGTGCCAAATGTCGCCAAAATCGTAGTGCGAGGAAATATTCACATCTTACGCTTACAGGCTTCAAGGTCATACTGGAAAATTACGGAAAATCGAACGAAAATTTTTTGAAACCGAAATTCGAAAATTGGTTTCTCGTCACAGCAGGTGTTTACAGATACTGGGTGACTATTTTGAAAAGTAACAGCTATCTAGTTGTCAGTTTACGTTAATCTCTAATAAAAAAGATTCTTTTCATTCCTCCGTATTTTTTTTTTTTTTTGTTTTTTAGAAAAAAGTGTAACTTATTTATTGACACACCGTGGTGAACCAATAACTTACTGCTCCTACAGGAATACCAGTGCTGTACGTGGGTCTACTTGATGCAGGCGTACCAGACGCGTTTACATACTGCAGTATAGCCAGTTGTTGAATGCTTCTAGCTTCACAATCGTCCAGTGCACGAAGTTGTATCCAATAAGAGCCAGGAGTTTGATTAGTGTTTATGACAAAATCGTATCGTTCACCTATAGAAAAACAACGTACGTTCTTTTTAGACAGGAACACTATTGTATTATTGTATCGTGGTTACAATTTACTACGAGGAAAATGAATCAGTGTTATCGTTTAATTAACACATCAAGATTAGGATGTTGCTAAGGACAACTATCGTATTCGTGTAAATGTCGAGAATTAAACGCACAGTAGTTAATCAGATGAACCAATTAACGATTGTTTAAACGATTCATATTGCACTTATACCTGGAAACGAAACAATGGAATTAACAACTAAGGGTTCAATATCGTTTCCATCTATAGCGATAACGGAGAGATTATGATTTTCGACAGTTAGTTGTCCTGGACAGGTGGCACAGAAAGAATTAATTAACCGGATACGATGACGTTTATTTGCCTCCACAGTGATCACTTCCAAGGAAGTGTTTGTAGTAGTGCCATTGGCATCCTGCAATGAAAATATAATTATTCCAAAAAATGTTATTTCAAATGTCAGTCGTTTAGAAAACAATTTTTTCTTAATAATAAAACCCCCTGAAAGCAACAAAATAGAAAAAGAAAAGAAATTGCTCCAAAAGATATTTTAACTCTTTGAACTCCAAATTTTTTTTTAAATTTTCTTTCCAATAACTCCCTGTTATTTTAAGAATCTTATTCGAAATGCACTTCAAAAGACATTTTGGTCGATAGGAACCAATTTAAACAATCTTTTTTACTAATTATATTGAAAATAGCATTAAGGGTCATATGTATGTGTACCTATTGCTCATCCAGGTAAAAGAAATATTGCAAAATATAATACATATTTAAACTGGCAATTTAAAAATTACTTCATTCATACCTGTGAATGAAACTAACGTCGAGTCACACTCGACAAAGGAGTCGAAAGGGTTAAATGTCAGTCATTTGTAAAATAATATTTTCTTAATTAATAAAATCCCATAAAAGCAACAAAACAAGAAGAAATTAAATCTTTCGATTTTCATATTAGTATCGATTGACGGTAAAACGTATTTACTGTAAATTGCCCTTTTCCATTGATCAGAAATGTATCAGGATGTTGCCCGGTAACACCAGCATTGCGACCTGGATATCGTTCAGTAGATTCTTCGTGAAACCAATCAGCGATAATTATCACGTGATTAGCCAAATCAGTTTCGAAATATTTTCTACTTGGATCAGTTTCTACTGGATCGCGTACGATCAAGGCACCGTGAATCCCGTCCATTTTATTCAATCCTGTATGAGCGTGCCAGAAATGTGTACCACTGTTCTTCACCATGAATTGATATCTATAATACCAAAACTAAACTTAATAATTCTAATATTTCCACTATCGCTGATAAGTTTAATCGCGCAATGCAAAAGTGCTAGAATTCATAGAATTATCGTCTTTTTAATCTAACATTTCGAATGTTTCCTTCTAATTATACGTAAAACTAAAGCTATACGAAAAAACTTTTTTATATAAAATACCTAAAGGAAGTTGCAAATATTATTGGACATTGTGTTAACTGTGGTACACCATCGTAATATTGATAATCCTCTTGGAATACTCCATGCCAATGGATTGTTATAGCATCTTCTTTAACTTTATTCACGACATCTATCACAAGGTAATCTCCTAAACAGACCTGTATACTTGGTCCTGGTATCATTCTGTTCACAGTTAAAGCCATGCGTTGCACACCATCGGTAGGTACACATTGGCAATTAGGGCAAATTGTATTGCTAATGTTAGGTGTGCATAAATCACATGCTCTAAAAAGAAGTAACACGATCAGAAAAAATTTCATTTTTAGAAAATTTTTTATAAATCTTTGATATGTGTAAAATGAAAAATTGGAAAATCAAACTATTCTTATGATAATAGTTATTTACAGCTATCGGAGAAAATTTGATTTTTAGAAAATTTTTTATGAATCTTTGATTTACGTGAAATGAAAAATTGTAAAATATGAAAATGAAATTTTTCATCATACTTACTGACCACTAACGGGATAACGTTCAATTACAAACTTGTAGTAGCACGTTTTTGGTTTATCCGTCAAGTGACAGGTACGAGCACAGTCGAAAGCATCCGACAAAGATGTATCTCTGAGAATTTTATCACTCTGACAAGTGGTCCTATTAATTGGAGGCATACCAGCAAGTCCAGATACATAGCCAGACACTATTTTTGAACTTTGTGTGTTACATGTAACTATAACTAAATTTTAACAAACACAGTGAAAGTGTTAGTGTTGTACAATAGTTATGTGTTTGTAATTATCAATTGAACCTTATATATTTATATTTAAATTTTAATTCATGACGAGAAAATTCATTTCTATTAGATTGTACTTAAGGATAATTTACAAATCACGAATTATTGTATAGATGTCACAATTCGAGTAAAAAATCACTTATCCGATCTATTTATTTTTGTCTCTTCGTGGTTTTGTAAAAAAAAGTTTGAAAATATATATACTTTGTTCTGTTTATCAATTACCGAATGAAAAATAAAAAGTAATCGTGAATTGGTATTTTAACAAAATTTTACGAGACGAAACGATTTTTCAGTCATCAATTAACTATGAAATATTTAGAGAGAGAAAAATATTGCACACCGAAAAAAATAAACGTGAGGCTTGAAAGTATTTTCCAAGTGGAATTCATGATGGCACGAGCACAAGTCATACTGCTCTACATTTCGATTTTGTTCTTATATATATAATCATGATTATTTAAATATTTTCTTCCGGAAAATATTTGATTTCAGAAAAAGAAATGCAAATTACACCTCTTATTATCTTATCGATAACGTTAATTGCTTTTTCAACGCGTTTGGTTAAATCAAGTGGAATTTCAGCTGAATATACATGATTTCCTTATTTAAAATTGCATTATGGAATTTGCAAAATTCAATGACAAATCAAGGTGACACATACAAAACATGTTTATTCTTTTCAAAAAGACATAAAACCATAAACCAATGACATGACGATTCTAAGGAATCTGCTAGTTTGTTGAAAACAATGATAAAAGTAATACACTTATGTATACAACCTACGATTAATCTACGACTCGATTTTAATTACTATCGATATAGTTGAAAAATACCATGATATCATTGTATTCAAAGTTACACGTTAAGGTTATGATTAATTATTTTATTCAATTTAGCATCTTCTGTTTTTCATTTTGTTACTCAAAATCTAACAATGAATGATATTATTCTTTTGCGATGTAATTCTAATATTATTGAAAAATGTGATTATCACAGGGAATATGTGAAAACAAAACGCAACATTATTCGCCTGTCAGAATAGTATTTGAAGTATTTTACATTTTAAACACTTTTGAATGGAAACTACACATGCTTTTAAAAACATTTACTGTGTTTCACTACTATCTAGTATGCACCCTACTCCTAACAAAGTTGGCTGCATCATTAATTAAATAAAATATTTTCCCAAATCATTGTTCAAATAACACTTTATTCGTTTAAAAACGTTAAACAGATTACAATAATTTGAAACTAAAAAACTAGTTTCAATCGTTAAAAGTTATTTATTAAAATGTTGCAACAAAAGTAGCATTTGTATAAATATTTGAAACCAAACATATGATGTCAAATATTAATTAGTAACTCATATTTCTTCTGCACCTTCTTTCTTCTCTTTATATGTATAATATAATAGAGTTTTATCTTTTTTTTTCCAGAGATTTTTCCAGAGCAAATTTAAAAGAACAACTCTTTGCACATACTAAACGAAAAAAAAAAAAAAAATTGAAATACAAAGCAGGAAGAGGAAAATACAATACATCACATATTCTTCAAAATAATTATTTATTGAATAGCAGAATTTGCATTCATTTGAGACTTTTCTTGTATTATTTGCTCGGCATGATATACTTTCCAACAAATAAGGTAATCTCTAGTAACTTTAAATAAAGTATAATAGTTGATCACAAGAAGCAACATTATCGATAGTGCTTGATACCAATCGGTTGTGCGTAATAAAATGAATAATTGTGCACAGACAAGAAGAAGTTGTAAGCCCAACAATGAACAAAGTAACATCGTGGGATTGCTAAATAAAGCCTGTATAAAAGAATTAAAGTATGTGTTACATTAGATACATTTTCACAGCACAATTATAATCGGAATAAAATTTATGGCGATATAGTTATTCATAACGTACATAAAACCTATAATGATTTGAATTTCCTGGTTCTGCTACAGTGCATAAACCTTCTGAACGATAGATTTCCTTATTGTGCCGCACAACTGAACCATGAGGCCACAAAACTGAATCATTCCATGCTTGAGCATATGTATGGCTATTACGATTTTCAATTTTCACCCATCGACCTAAATGTAACGCCGCTCTATGTAGAACATCACAGTACCTAAATAATTAGGGTATTCATCAAATTTCTGGAAATGAATTTTTTAGTACAACATTCAAATAATAAAATCTCCACAACAGCACGTACACATTTCATTCAACCATACAATAATAAAGGAGTAAACATTTTACATACAACAAATACATACCTGACAGGATAAGCATGTGAAAAGTGAGCACTTATTCTTCCAAGCCAAAACATAATAACATGTTGTACAACCCATGATACATTAAAATGTAAATGTTGAGGTACAAATATAATGGGTGCAATACCACATACATAAGCACTACTAGAAGATGCAAATAAAGCTCGTTTCAGACGACGATTGAAATCAGATCTCAATGTTGAAACTTCTGCTCTAATTGCGGATGCATTTAATGAGCAATTATGTAAAGGTTTATCTGCACAAAAAAGAAAATGATTTAAACCAATAATTTATATCAAAAAAAGGTGCTGCACTTACACCAAACATAACAAAATATACTGATAAACTTCTGAAACAAAGTAGATACAATAAACAAAATTTCTATGTTTGTTTGATTGGTATGTAATATATATATATATATTGTTTTTTGGTAACCATTTCATAATAGAAGTATATTATATTGAAAATAGCAATTATAATAATAAAAAAATACAAACGGATAACATAAGTAAAAAATCTTCATTGAATTATGCCTTTCAGCCATGTGATAAAGACACCAACATAATATAGTCATCACAATAAATAACAAAGTTATCCTGAAAAGAATAATATACAGAATTACTCTGAAAAATATTATGTATTCTATGGAATAGTATACTGTAGAAAAGTATACCTCATAATTTTTTGAGCAGCAGGTAACCAACGAACTGGTGATGAAACATCAATGACACGACGCAATAAAGAGTAAATAAATTGTCTTGCAACCATAGTTGTTATAAATATAAGTAGATAAGGATCTATTAAATAAAAATTCTGAAAAATCAAAATCACATATTTTTAATAGTGCATGAAAAATATATGTTAAAGAGTATAATAAAACAAAATTTAAACCAATATAATTTTTAATTTAAGCCAATATAAAATTCTTTAAAACACATACCATGCTATAATTATTATAAGAATGGGGTAACCACCAAACAGTTCTATATAAATTAAGCATTTGTAATGAAGCTGCAATAATTGACACAGCCAAAGACATAGCTTCAAATGTTAAATGACCATCAACAGGTACAATTGGTATAGGTACATGTTTTGGTACCAATGTTTTTATTCCACAAATTTCTTCTGATTTCTTATCATCTGCACCACTTCCAGGTGTTCTTTCTCCACTATTACTTCGTACACCAATATTTGAAGGTGTAGAAATGTTAGCTTGGGATTTAGTCTGTCCATTTCTACTAGTAGTATTACGTCTTCCACCAGGCATAGTGTATGAGTTTACATTTCAGTTATCTTTTTGCAAACAATAGTGCTTTATTACTGTTCTTATTAATTTTTACTTTAATAAGTTAGTTTTTAAATAAACAATAAGTGAATTTAATATCAATTGAATTATCACACCAAAGAATTTATCAGTTTTTAATTTTGTTCAAATTACATAAAACATAACATTCCATATTCTTACAAATCTCTCGCATATAATTTTTAAATACTCACATTTAAAACCATTTAGGAATATTAGTATTATATGCTAAAATTGGCGATAAAGAGGTATTGACAAATCAACATAACCAATGATTCCACATATACACTAAATTTTTTATTGCAAGTTTGTTTTTGTTTTTCACACAGATGAAACATATACATAGATTTATCCCTTCGTAGAATTACAAAACTAGAAGTGAAATTACTAAAGTGATATGTAGCGCACCCTACACACAAAGCAGATAGATTATAAAGTTTACTAAAGAATATATAATTGTAGATGTTATTAAACTATTTAATGTCAACAAAATTACAAATATGCCAGTAACCTTTCATACCTATAATTATCATATTAGTTTTTCCACTCTTCAGCAATATGTATTGCCTACAAGATTTATACTCATTTTTTCAGTTTTTTAAAAAT